TTAAGAGGCAGTTTTCACTGCGGACCCAGGGGTCAGCTGGAAAACATACACTCATAAACAGCATCTATTATTCATGTCTTCAGCCCTGTAATCCACTCACATCACGCACCGGCTACAGCAGTTGTCCAGCCACTCTGTTCGCTGACAGACGGATTGGATTTGTCCAGCTGCAACGTCTAGGTTTGATTTAATATACTGCCGCCTCCACCAACTGTAGTTATCGCTGTGATAAACACATCTGGGTTGCATCTGTGCTGAAAATTCGACAGCCGTACACACTTGACAGCAGCCGTGTTTCTGTAAAGTTGATGATGATCGCTTGCTGTAAATACACTGTTTGTACTGTTGCCTTTTTCTAATCAACTGGCTCAAAACATTGGGCACAAAAATGAGTCATTTGAGTATTATGAGGTCCTTTGTTGATGCCTAACAGGGGCAATTAGGACTTTTCCAGCACAGTGATTGTGTCATTTGACGATGTTAGCTGTCGTGTGTGTAAGTGAGGGCCCAGCTTGGCCCAGATTTGACCATGTCTTAGTGTACTAATCCATTAGTCTCCCCAAAGGCATCGTGATTACACACATTGCTAATACACACATTGGCGCTTTTCTTCTGAGACTTTTCACTGATGGTATCAGAGGCCACTTGGGTGGTTTTGGTGTGTAGCTGTGACTGTCGGAGGTGGGGGCAGATGGATATTTGTGCCCATATTTGGGGTCTGGCAGCTCATAATGCTTTCATTTATGTCAGAAGTGGAGTGATGCTTGTCTCCTTACCCACCCCCAAAGGCTCCCACAAAAACCGCCTGTAACCCCACATTTTCCTACCAGCATACACAGCAGCAGTAAGTGGCCCAACCTCTAATGATTTTAATCATCTGCAATCAGGCCCAGTAGTCTGAATCTCTGGCCCAGAGACAGAAAGACAAGACAAAGTAAAATGAGGGGAGGGGGTTTTCATTTGTGGGGCTGGCAGTGGTGAAAAGGTGGCCATGGAGCAGTGTAGGAGCCCGGCACAATTACCGCCAGAGCTCTGGGGGAACATGACTCCAAACTCCAGAGCACGACACGAGAAATGAGAGCGCCGTTCTGGCTTAAGCGGCTGATCTGCCGACTGCCTGTTTTGGTATGTGTAACAGGAGAATCTCAAGTCCTCATCATGTAATTTGACAGTCAGTTTCCAACTCATCACAGTGGCAGCATGCTGCAACTGTATCAGGGATGATTTTAGTCTGCGCTCTTGATGATTTTAACTTTGTGTAATGGTTCATTGAGCAACGTAGTTGAAGGAGACTAAAAGAAAGGGGGCATGCAAAAAACGTTTTTGCATCTAAAAGTATGTTCTCTCTTTCATCTTATACACTTGAAAAAAGGAACTACTACTGCCACTTCCTTTAGCATTTCCTTAACGTGGACAGTACTCCTGGATCAGTGATTCTGGGTTTTTTATTTGTTTGTTTTCTTTGTGTGAATTCTCTGTTCTTTCAAACCCCCAGTTGGCCGTGGGAGATGGCCGCTCACACTGAGCCTGGTTCTGCTGGAGGCTTCTTCCTGTTAAAGGGGGGTTCTCCTTTCCACTATTGCCACTTGCATGCTCAGTATGAGGGATTGCATGAAAAGTCGACGACACAATGCAATTAACTGTCCTCTGTCGCTACATGCTCATCCAGGAGAAGTGAATACTGCAAGTCACTGACTCAATGCAATCTGCTGGGTTTACTTCGATAGAAAACTATTTAACCAGTTTGAAAAATAAAAGGAATTTGACTGAATTGTTTGATAACTATGATCAACTGGAATGTATGTACTTGACTTGGAATCTGCATGATTTGATTAAATTGACTTTTTTTGTATGTGCCTTGTGTTGTGGCGTGGTGCTATATAAATAAACTTAAAACTTTCAAAGTTATTCTTTAGACTTTTGCTTTTCAGGCAACTTAACCAACAAGCTATGTTAAACTGGATAATTTTTACCAGCAGCCTGTCACAAAAACAGTTTGTTCTTATTTTCTTACTCATTCATCCATCCATCCGTCCGTCCATCCATCCATCCATCATTATTGGACTTCTGTGCTCATCACGTATTGTCCGTAATGAACACCATGTTCAAGCATAAGGGTGTTCATCAGTGCACTTGGCATCAGGACACTCTAGGCAGGAGGTCAATGATCGACTTTGTGGTCGTGTCTTCAGACCTTCGGCCACATGTTTTGGACACTTGGGTGAAGAGAGGCCCTGAGCTGTCCACTGATCACCACCTGGTGGTGAGTTGGATCCACTGGAAGAGGAGAAAGCTGGACAGACTTGGCAGGCCTAAGCGTATAGTGAGGGTCTGCTGAGAATGTCTGGCAGAGCCCTCGGCCAAGGATGTATTCAGCTCCCACCTCCGGGAGAGCTTTGACCAGACTCTGGGGGAGGCTGGAGACATAGAGTCCGAGTGGACCATGTTCTTCGCGTCTATTGTTGAGGCTGCCACCCGTACCTGTTGCCGTAAGGTCTGCGGTGCCTGTCGCGGCGGCAATCCCCGAACTCGGTGGTGGACACTGGCAGTAAGGGATGCTGTCAAGCTGAAGAAGCAGTCCTATCGGCTGTGGTTGGCTTGTGGGACTCCTGAGGTGGCTGGCGGGTACTGTGAGGCCAAGCATGCCATGACCCGGGCTGTGGCAGAGGCAAAATCTCGGGCCGGGGAGGAGTTTGGTGAGGCCATGGAGAAGGACTACTGGTTGGCCTCAAAGCGATTCTGGCAAACCGTCCGGCGCCGCAGGAGGGGGAAGCAGTGCTTCGCACACACTGTTTACAGTGGGGGTAGGGAGATGCTGACCTCGACTGGGGACATTATCGGGCGGTGGAAGGAGTACTTCGAGGATCTCCTCAATCCTGCTGTCACGTATTCCCTGGTGGAAGCAGAGGCTGGGGACCTGGGTTTGGACTCTGTCATCACCCAGGCTGAAGTCATTGAGGTGGTTGAAAAGCACCACGGTGGTGGGGCTTCAGGGGTGGATTAGATCCGCCCTGAGTACCTCAAGTCTTTGGATGTTGTGATACTGTCATGGTTGACATGCCTCTTCAACATTGCATGGCAGTCGGGGACAGTGCCTCTGTACTGGCAGACCGGGGTGGTGGTCCCCCTTCATATGAAGCATGACCGGAGGGTGTGTTCCAACTATAGGGGATCACACTCCTCAGCCTCCCTGGTAAGGCCTATTCCAAGATATTGGAGAGGAGAGTCTGGCTGATTGTCGAACCTCAGCTTCAGGAGGAGCTGTGTGGTTTTCGTCTCGGCCATGGAACACTGGACTAGCTCTATACCCTCCGCAGGGTACTCGAGGGTTCATGGGAGTTTGCCCAACAGGTCCACATGTGTTTTGTGGACCTGGAGAAGGCATTCGACTGTGTCCCTCGTGATGCCCTGTGGGGGGTACTCCAGGAGTATGGAGTCGGGGGCCCTTCATTTGGGGTCATCCGGTCTCTGTGCAAGAGGAGCAGGAGTTTGGTCCGCATTGCCAGCACTAAGTCGGACCTGATCCCAGTGCATATTGGATTCTGGCAGGGCTGCCCTTTGTCACTGATCCTGTTCATAACTTTTATGGACAAGATTTTTAGGCGCAGCCAAGGGCCGGAAGGGGTCTGATTTGGGGACCAGTGGATTTCGTCTCTTCTTTTTGCAGATGACGTGGTCCTGCTGGCCCCCTCTAGCCAAGACCTACAGCATGCACTGGGGCGGTTCGCAGTCAAGTGTGAAGCAGCTGGGATGAAAATCAGCTCTTCCAAGTCCAAAAAGGGTGGCTTTTCCTCTTCAGGTTGGAGGGGAGCTCCTGCCTCAAGTGGAGGAGTTTAAGTATCTTGGGGTCTTGTTCACGAGTGAGGGGAGAATGGAGCAGGAGATCGACAGACGGATTGGTGCGGCTTCAGCAGTAATGGGGACGCTGTGCCGGTCCGTTGTGGTGAAGAGAGAGCTGAGTCGAAAGAGAAGCACTTGATTTAGCAGTCGGTCTACATTCCTACCCTCACCTATGGCCATGAACTTTGGGTCATGAAAGAACAAGATCCCGGATACAAGCGTCCTAAATGAGCTTCCTCCGTAGGGTGGTCGGGCGCTCCCTTAGAGATCTTGGCCATCCGGGAGGGGCTCGGAGTAGAGCCGCTGCTGCTCCACATCGAGAGGAGCCAGTTGAGGTGGCTCAGGCATCTATACCGGATGCCTCCTGGACGCCTTCCTCGGGAGCTGTTCAAGGCACGTCCCACCGGGAGGAGGCCCAGGGAACGCCCAGGACACACTGGAGGGACTATGTCTCTCAGCTGGCCTGGGAATGCCTTGGGCTCCCCCCATAAGAGCAGGAGGAGGTGTCTGGAGAGAGGGATGTCTGGGTGTCTCTACTGAGTCTGCTGCCCCCGGTCCCAGATGAAGCGGAAGACGACGACGAGTGTTTAAAGTTCTTTTACAATTTTTCTGTTTGCTATATAATTGCATATGTGAGAATCTACACAAAATATAAATAATCATAAACATAAAGAAAACCATTTATTTAGAAAGGCGTTCTAAAACCTTTGACCGGTAGTGTACATAGAATTCAGAACTGTTGAATTCAGGTGTTGTAGTTAGACATGTTGCCATGGGGTTGTATAAACATTGTTCAACAAATGTCACAATGTTAAAATGGCCCAGTCAAGGTCCAGACCTAAATCCAACTGCTAATCTGTCAGCAGACTTGAAAACTGCTTCCCATCCAATCTGACTGTTCTAGAGTTATTATGCAGAAATCGGCAGAAACTGAAGTCTATGAAGGTGCAAATCTGGTAAAGATAGTATCCAAAAGACTTGCAGCTGTAACTGCAGCAAAAACAGATTCTATTTAGTTTTAAAGACTTATTTGAATCCTTAATAGAATAAATTATTTGAAATGCCCATAAAGGATTTCAACAAGAGTGAGAGCTCTTGTAGCTGCAGAAAGGAGATTAACTCCATATTAAATGATGTGTATTAAAATACAGTGACACAGTGGCACGGTGGCGCAGTTGGTAGTACTGTTGCCTTGCAGGAAGAAGGTCCTGGGTTCGATTCCCGTCCGGCGGTTTTCTGCATGGAGTTTGCATGTTTTCCCCGTGCATGCGTGGGTTCTTCCTCCCACAGTCAAAAGACATGCCTGTTAGGTTAATTGGTCACTCTAAATTGCCCTTAGGTGTAGGAATGAGTGTGTGCATGGCTGTTTGTGTGTTGCCCTGTGATGGACTGGCGACCTGTCCAGGGTGTACCCCGCCTCTCGCCCATAGACTGCTGGAGATAGGCACCAGCTCCCCTGCGACCCACTATGGAATAAGCGGTAGAAAATGACTGACAGACATTATTTGCCTTTTTAAAAGCTTCCAAACCATAATGGAAACCTATCTTGTAACATTCAATGACTCTCGATGAATCTCCATATTAGCAACACAGAAAAGTTGTTTGAGTAGGGAGTGGGTGCAGAGAGAAGAGGTGGGGGCAATTTTAACAGAACTCTGCCAAAGCTGAATGAAGTAGGACCACCCAAGGTGGCGTCAGAAGCTTGGCAGTGGTTCAGGGAAGTTGGTCGGCGGGCCGGCAGGCAGCCCATGCCCTGGGCTCAGGCACTCTGAGGCGCTGCCAGAGTGGATGGAGATATTCAGCTCAGCCCAAAAAGGCCACTTCAGCCTCCCACAGCATAACACAGCAGAGCCACAGTGATAGGGAATATATGCGTGCCCGTCTGTGTAGGTCTGGAAGAGCTGGGGAAAAATGAGGAAGATATTTATAGGACTTGGTTTCCCATGATTTTAAAGAAGTCTCCCATATGGAAATGATGAGGTTGAACCAAAATATATTTATTCATGAGAAACCCAAGCACCAGCAGCATCTATCTTAAGATGTCCTAGCTGAACTGAACAGCACATAACAGCACAGTACGCTGCTTTTTTGCTGCATGGAACCACTGTTCTCATAAAAGCTCTGCAAATGTTAACCAGCCACCTCTCCGCTGGCTGCAAACAAAAGCTTTTTCCTTCATCTTTATCTCCTCCATTGGGGCCTGTCATTTCATCGTAGCACTTACAGCTTATAAACTCCTTGACAAATCACATTAGTATTTAGCTTCTCTCAGCAGTTTACTGCCTGGATGCAAAGTATCATTTATCACTCTGTAATTCACTTTACCCGGTAAATTCAGTTTGGCAGGTCTGTTGTGCCTGTCGGTAGAAAGGGAATGAAGAAGGAGAAAGGATGCCATTTAGAAGTTTAACCACCTTGACTGGAGCTTTATAAAATCAGACAAGACATTGTGAGATGCAGGATGCATTTAGGATTTCCTAAAATCACTGTTAGCTGCAAACAAACAGCAATGGTGAAAAACGCTTAGAGTCATCTGGCACTCATCTCTTCCTCCATCTCTCCCATGAGAGCACCAGTGAGCCTAACGCTCTAGCCTAAATGTAGATACATTTTTGTTGTCAAACTTGTGTTGCATTGTGCCAACAGGGTGAAAGGAAGAGAAGGGTGTGCAGGCTCTTAAAGTATTCACTTGGATCATTGGGCATGACAACCCTTTCTCCCACTAAGGTCAATCGAACAAGGTCTTTACTTGCATATTCTTTATCTAAACATGTTTCATTTATTCTCACTCACACACATTGTTTTTTTTCCCTTATTGAGCCATTAAAATCTATCAATCATGAGGTTCACGCTACGTTGTTTTCAGGCAATGATGGCACATAAAATTGGAAACATTTTTCATAATTTATTGTTTTATTTTCTTTTAAAGTGCAAAGACTTTGTTGTGCATTTGCACATACTTTATATTCACAGGAAGTTCGACAAAACAACATGATAAATAATTTTACCAAACATACCGTGCGAAGGTATTAAATATTTTTGCTTTTTGTCATGTTAAATACTTCATAAAATATTTTATTGGGCATATGTGATAGATACAATACAAATCAGTGTACAACTGTGTTAAGTTTTTCAAATCAAAATCTGAAAAGTTGTGCATTTGTGTTTAGCTCCCCTGAGTTAATATCATCTTGAACCACCTTTCGCTAAAATTAAAGCTGCAAGATGCATCTGTGGATTTCAAAAAACAAGAACTCTGGTTGATGTTAGTATGGAAGTGGACATGTTACTAAAAACAACTCCCTACTAACATTTGTGCATGGAGAAAATTAGACATTATAATCTACGCTGCAGCCCATAATAGGACTGCGTCTTTGTCAGGTTTTAGCAGCATATCTGTATAATCTCCTGATTAAACATTTAGTTTCTCACTCTCTTCATTCTCAAAAGAAAATCTCGTCATTTTCTGCATAAGACTGACTAATGGAGATCAAGCCTTTCAGGTTGTGGCTGGTAGGCTGTAAAACAATCACCCTGCAGCGTTTGATGAATCACTTAAAAACTTTGTCAGGTTTTTGCCTATGGTTTATACGGTTATACGGTGTACTAACCGTAGTCCTTGTTATTTATCCTCTTTTGCTTTATGTACTTTCTTTTATGTATTGTAGATTTTTTTGTCTTTTCATTTTTTATGCCATGTAATTATGGTGGTGTCATGATTTAAGGGTGTTTTTGTTAAGTTTTAGTTATTCTTATTCTCAGTTATGTTTTTGGATCACGTTTCTGTTGTTTTCTAGTTCATGTTTTGCAAGTTATGTTCCTCTTAGTTTGTATCATAGGATTTTTGTTTTGTCCCAGTCATGTTTCTTATTTACTCTCTGCATCTGTCAGTCATAGCAATCAGCTTCATTCGGCCCACCTGAATCATGTAATCAGTCTCCTCATTGCACCTGTATCTTGCTCCATTTAAACACTGTCTGTCTGTTCACTCTTCATTGAAACAATCCACTCCTGTTTGTCCTCCTCGCCTGTCATTATTTTGTTCCTGCCTCTTGGTGAGAGATTTGCCTTACTAAAAGTAAACCGTTTTACTTACGGTCAAGATACCTAGTCGTCTGCATTCTGAGGTCCTCCGCTTTGCCAAATCTGGCAGATTGTTATAATTCTTAAATGTGTTAAAAGTAATTTATAAACAAAAGTGACTTATTCATTTAAGCCCACACCCCCGCAACCCAGCCAAACTTAGTAACTCTCTACTATCTACACGATCAGAAACATTAAGGACTAAACAATGATCTGTATGTCTTGCATGCATTTCCTTAGTATATGGTACAGTTGCCTGTATGACACCTCCAGACACCTCACCCAGAGGAGCTGGAGGAGGTGTCTGGGGAGAGGAAAGTCTGGGTATCTCTAGTAAGTCTGCTGCCCCCACGACCCGGTCCCGGATAAAACGCATGATGACGAGTACGTCGACGACTTGGATGAAATGTTGTGGAAATCCTTCAACAAACTTCTCAGGATAGCTCTGAGAGCAGTTCTATCAGGTTTGCAGGCAGCCTTGATCACCTCAAACCTTTTCAGCTCTGCCTCCAAGTTGTCTATGAAATAGGTTAAGGGCTTTTTGATGGCCACTCCAACCCAATGACTTTTTCGTACCAAAAAACGTTCATCTCTAGGACACAGAACCCGACTACTTCTGAAAATTTACTGAAAATTTCATCCAAAGACGAACCAGACTTGTGGAGAACCACAGTACTCCTTCTGATATCTTTGCTGATTTCTTTTGAAAGCAGTTTTTTTGAAGTGTGCCTTAAAATACATCCACATAAGTGCCTTCAATTATCCTTTTAGAACCTTGCAAAGCCATGACATCATCTGAGCTTTCCAAAGTTGTTGAAACACATAGTTGAGTTGCTTCTCAATATCCTGCCATTAAGAAAATATAAATAATGATGGTAATTCTAACTAATCGAAATGTAAAAAAAGTAGAAATGTTTATTTTAGTTATGCAGTAGACTTTTATACAAACATATCTCTAGATTGGGGGAGATGAGGAAACCAAAAACATTTGTTGTTGTTTTTTTTTTTTAAGTAAAAAATAATAATCCACGTTCATCCGGTCTGTGTCATATTCTCCTAATCCTGTCTCAAACTTTGGTGATCTTAATGCCAGGAAAAGCATATAAATATTCTTTTCTTGTTTTTTCATGACTAACATAGGGGGTTCATGAATCTCACATTTTGCTTTTAATGAATATCTGTTTAACATTGAACTCAGTTTTGGTTTGACAAGTTTACATGTTTTAGATGTTGATCATATGCCAGCATGTTTAATTGAAAAACAGTTTTGGTATATTACTGTGGGCTGCTGTAACAAGTAATTCATCTTAATCTTAATTTACTGCTGAACTGAAAGCTACAAATCAGATACTAGCTTCGGCATAATTAGCCAGCTGCAGTGTACAGCAATAACGTCTTACACTATTTACATTGTTTACAATACACCATCGTGCAGCCTAATGACTGCACATGCAAATAAGGAATATACAATCGTGTTTTGCAACTCACAGATTTCTAGTCTAAACCTCAACAAAACACAGAAAAACTTTCTGAAAACCCAGAAAGGTTCTTTTCATGGATTGCAACAGTTTATTTCATTTCTTTCTTTGTTTTTCCAAATACTGTAAAATAAATAGTCATGAACTTTGTACCATCTGCTGCACCACAGCTCTGAAATTTCAATAATTTTTTTTTCTGTTTGTCAGCCGCTGGTGAAGTCTATGATTATTGCCAGGGTTCTTTCTGCCACACAGTGGATCACTCTGAGTGTAACATTCCTCCAAGATGTAAGAAATAACAGGAGCAGTGACAAGAACATTTATTAGTTATAATACATATAAGTTCTTTCCCCTCTGACTCCATTTGTAAAGCTGTTTGTAACAAAGAAAGTTGAGAAGCACTTTTCTTAAGTGAGATTTCAGTAAAGGACTATTTCGTGGAGTTAGTGTCAGTATAAACTTGGATTGTAGATACCAAATACTGCACCTTTTTCAAATCCATGATAGCAGTTTTTCTTATGATATGTCATTGTGTGTACTTCAAACATCCAAATAAAAGGGGTTTTAAGGAAGGAATGTCTATTGTCCTGAGTTGTGACTCTTTATTACACCCCTTGCATGGTATTTGATTTGTGTTAAGCTGAAGCCAAACCATTCTTTCTCACCATCCTCTC